GCAGCAGCAGCAGCAGCAGCAGCAGCAGCAGCAGAAGCAGAAGCAGCAGCAGCAGCAGCAGCAGCAGCAGCAGCAGAGCAGAAGCAGAAGCAGAAGCAGAAGCAGAAGCAGAAGCAGAAGCAGAAGCAGAAGCAGCCGCAGCAGAAGCAAAAACAGAAGCAGAAGCAGCAGCAGCAGCAGCAACAGCAGCAGCAGCAGCAGCAGAAGCAGCAGCACCAGAAGCAGCAGAAGCAGCAGAAGCAGCAAAAGCAGCACCAGCACCAGCAGCAGCAGCAGCAGCAGCACCAGCAGCAGCAGCCAGTGTCAATCCTGCAGATACCACTACACCGCCGGCCACAGAGCCAATATCAGTGGACTGTGGCCTGCAGCGCCTGAGGGCCTCGATGGATGAAGAGCACCGGGAGATGGGGCTGCGCTCCCAGCCTGAAAGCCGTGCGGCCAGCCGCCCCGGGAGCGCGGCGCCGCGCGCACGCGGCTCTCTCAGCAGCGCTCTCAGTCGGCCAGGCAGCGCTGCACGCGCGGCAGCAAGTGGGTGGGCTGCTGGAGAGGTGACAGCGTTGTGGGGCGCAGAGCTGGCGGGACTCGCCCAGCCGCCGCCGCCGCCCCCGGCCGGCTGTGCCCACAGCCGCCCGTCGTCGGCGCGCCGCATGGCCTCGCGCGCCGCGAGCTTTGGGGCAAGCTTTGGTGCCGCCAGCGGGGCTGCAGGGGCCGCCGGCTTCAGCCCGCGCCCTGGCTCTGCGCAGGGCGCTGTCATGGGACACTTTGGCTTGTCCAGCGGCTCGAGGCCCCACACCGCTGAGAATGGGACCACAAGAGCCAGCCATAATGCCCACGCGCACGCTGAGTCGACTGAGGCGGCGGCGGCGCCTGTGTCACACCTGGCTTCGCCCTTCGAGGTGGCGCCCTTGCTGACTCAGCCGGCTGTGCCTTTGGTGCAGCATGCCGGGGGCGCGCCACTCGCAGGGGTGCCAGAGGTCGCCGAAGAAGGCCTGGGGCCGGCGGCGTCGGCGGTGGTGGCGCCAGCCGGTATCAGCAGCGACGACGAGGAGGGGACGTGTGGCGCGGCCAAGGAAGTGCAGCAGGTGGGCAGCTACGGGACCCTTACTTGGACATGCCACTGTGGATTCATGCTTAGTTTCATGACCTCATCTGTCATTTTGAAGTGCCACGTGTCGCTGCTCAGCAGGGCTGCCGCTCCCAGGTTTCAATCACTGCATCTTCCCTTTTTTGCTGAATCCCTCTCTTCAAAGCTCCCTTTTCTACACACTGCTGACTAGCATCAACCGCCCGAACAACTTGCTCCCTGTTTGCACTTGAACCCAGGCCGACCTGGATCGTGCCCTTGCCATGTTTCAACAGCAGCTGGACCAGGCCAGCGCGATGGCTGCCCAACTCTACGCTCAGCAGTCTGCGCACCGTGGCAGCCGCTCCTGCGCAACCAGCCGGCCAGCGTCAGCAGGGCAGGGCGTCCGTGCACAGCCGCGGGCAGCAGCACCAGACCAGGCCGGCAGTACCGTTCCAGCCACTTTGGGGGAGGCAGCAGCGCCGGCGGCGGGGAATGCGCGTGTGTCAGCAGCTGGGGTGGCAGCAGCAGCGGCAGAGGAAGCGCCGTCCAAGGCTGAGATCACTCAGTACGCCGTGTACCTAGGAATGGATCCCGTGGAGGTGAGGTCTTCTATTGAATCTGCAGATGTTTACGCCATGCAACCTACGCTGATGTCATACATACCCTCTGCTGCGGTCGCTCTCGGCATACTTTCCTGCGCTCGCAGCACTTTTGTGAGCGGACCTCTGGTTTGCTGGCTTGCCACCGCCTCAGCTGACGGCTGTACCTTGTCAACTCGCCAGGTCCAGCATGCACAGGCATCCAACTGGCTTCGAGATCACTCTTTCTGTTACCAAAGACACCAAATATATACCTTGTTGTCCACTGCGCCAACCCCCACAAACAGGACGCTGACCTGCTGCACATCGCAGAGCAGGCGCTCACGGCTCCCCTGCCCCTCGGCTGGACGGTCCACCTGGACAACCAGGGGGCCGAATTTTTCCATGACACATCCACCGGAACGTCTCAGTACGAGCACCCCTGCGATGCCCAGTTCCGGGCGGCATACCAAGAGGCGAAGGCGGCGCAGAGGCCGCACGGCAGGGCAGGCGGGGCCTCTGGTGGTGGCGAGCAGGCGGCGGATGTGGCGGAATGAGCGCTTCTTGAATGGTCCTGCTGTAAGTGCCTCGTTTCTGACAATGGATGGCTCTGTATCCCTGACCCAACTCGTGAGACACATTAGTCAACGATTACAGCAGGTCAAAATTGCCAAGAGTGTGAGTTGTTCCAAAGTTGGCTCTGGCCAACACAACATTATTGCATATACATCCATTGACGTGCAGTCAATGCCCGCACACAGCAACTGTCCTCCCAGGAGCGCGTATGGAACAGGTTGCTGGCATGTGGGCCTTGCATGTGATTAGCGTACACATACCTAGCGGATGGGCCTGCTGTGCATGAAGCACACTGAGGTGTACAGGCTGCTCTACAGGTGACTGCTTGCTTCCCGCTGTTGGCTGTGTCTTGAATCCGGGTTTGCTGTCAACTCACAAATGATTTCCAGCAAGGATGACCATGACGCGGAACTTGCTGCTGGCACGGGTCCACAGCTGGCCGCGCAGACCCCAAGGATGGTAGGAGCGGGGGAAAGAAGGGATGGGGGTGGGCAGTGGGAGTGATGACATATCTTGTCACACCTTGAGCTGCCCAACCTCTGCCTCCAGAGGGAACACGCCGTCCTTTGGATCAAACTTGTAGCCGACGCCGCCGCGCTTGCCGGGCTGTGAGGGTTTAGGGGCAGCGGTAATGGACAGCGACGGATCGTGGTGATACGAGGCCAGGCGAATCAGCGCAGTGCGGCCATTGCGTGGTTCATGAGCTGGAGCACACGCGCATCGTTGGTGTTACAGAAGGGACACGGCGTGACCCTGCTGGCTTGCCACTCACCCCAGTTCTGCTTCTGAGTCATCGCACACCACTTTTTCATGCAGTAAAAACGGTCACTGGCTCGGCAACTTGCTTCAACAAACATGCAAGCAAAGCGTTTTTGGGGCACCAAGCAAGCGGTGTTCATCGACACATTCATCAACACGTTGACATTCGCCCATTTGTGGCCCCACACCTCAATGTTGCCCCACAGCTCCGCAAAATGCTCAGGCAGGGGCCGCCCGTCCTCAGGCGACAGCCACATGCGCAGCAGGTGACGCTTGTCATCGGGGTGCTGCAGTTGGGTTTGGTGCAAGTGTGCAAAAGATTGCGCGTGGTGCACATGTTGACATGAGGGTTAGCTGAGCATAGACTTGCGTGCAACTCCTGCCCTATGAAAACAAGGTTGGTAGACCCAGAGCGCGCCCATTGCTGCGAGGCACCAAATGAAACCGGTTGCCAGAACCATTTGCCACCAACCATCCTTGAATCAACAACAGGGTTTGAGGGTCAACCTTTTGAGGGTCAACCTTGTGACGCGTGGTTGCTGTGGCGGTTTTGCCTTGCCCGCACAATTACTGGAGAGTTTTTGCAGTAGAAGCCGTTTTCAGAGCAGCCACCCAATCCGCCCACCTCATGGTCCTCGTATTGCGAGCGGTTGTGCAGGATGGTGAAGTTCTGGATGATCTGCAGGTCCCCAGGCTGCAGCGCCATCTGAATGTGGATGTCCGGCCTGCAAGACGTGTTGAGTGCAGCGTTGTGATGCTGTGTGCGCAACGTGAGCGCTGACAGCTAAGCATACCGACAGCCTGTCCGCCTGTAACTTTGTCGCCTCCGCCTTGCGCTGTGTGAGGCGCTGCAAAATGCTCCATGCAACCGCACCTGTCTGCGATCTCATTAAACACGCGGATGGCCTCCTCCTGCTGGGGCGTCAACGGGGGCACCTCCCCAGGGTACAGCTTGGGGGGGAGCTGGTAGTAGCCGTCGGCATACTGGATGCTCAGGTGCCCCTGGGGTAGGCAGGAAGGGGACAAGAGGGCTCTTGACACATGATTTATCAGGTCGACTGGGATTCAAATCGAACGTCTCTCTCTCTCCCTCCCTCTCTCTCCACATGCAATGCACGTTTGTGCCTCGCATTGAGAGCAGCTGTGAGAATGTCAACGTCTCCACCCAATTAGTAGCAATTGCAGTGACCGGCTAGGGCCCTCACATCGTGCCAGTTGATGATTGGCTGGATAAAGTAGGGCTTCTTGCCGGGCGGGACCTGCGCGAGCAACCGGGGCATGCGAGTCGCAGGTGGCGCTCACACAGTACATAATACCATGATTGCCACGAGCCAAAGACGGCTAGCCAGGCTTTCCAAGGGCTTGCTGTGCAGAACCCTGCAACACTTGCACACTTGCCTGCAGCTCAGCTGCTGGGCTTCCCTGCCATGGGGAACTCTGGGCCGGGGCCACAACATACGAGCAGAAACTAAATGCGCCGCGACGTCGACCTGCGCGCCAACCAGGCGAATCTGAAGCTGCCCACCTCCTTCTTCCTGTCAAGGTACCAGGTACCAGCCAGCACGGGCACCAGGTCGGGTCGCGTTCTGCATCAGGGCGAATGCGAGCAGGTAAAGGCGTTGTGCCAGTCAGGCGGCCCTCCTGGGTGATGCTCCTTTGAGGCGCGTGCTATCTAAATCTACGTTGACGTCCAGCGCAAGGATCGAGCCACTAGGGCTGCCTGTCAGCCTGAACTCTGTGGACGCCACAGCGCACGCGCCACGGCATTGATGCGAGCTCTCTTCCCCTGTCTCGACTACCCTCGTAATCACCTGAGGATCTCATTGTACACTGTGGCGGAGCTGGCCCAGCCGCTGTGGCCACCAGACTTGGCGGTCTTGAGGAACAGCAGGGCTGTGTGTGTGTGTGTGTGTGTGTGCACGCGCGCACGTGTGTGTGTGTGTACGTGTGCGTGTGTGCGTGCGAGTCTGTGTGAACGTGCACGTGTGCATGCGAGGGCGCACACAACCTTGCCCAGCTTGTCACTCACACACGAGGTCTGAGGTGTCCACGTGCCAGGGCTGCTCCCTGCGGGTCATGTATACACGGGTGGTGCCCTTGGCGTTGTCAGGGTCAATGCCCACTTCCTGCAGATGGGATCAGGGAAACAATGCAGGCGTGTTCAGCAGGATCTACAACAATGGATGGGCAGTGTGGCAACTTGCTTGGAGCCACGGCAGGGTATCAAAACCGACGTGCTGGGAATGGTAGGTGAATAGGATCTTGCGTCCCACAGACGGCAGGCGGTGTTCCAACGGGTTTGGGCAACATCACTCCAGCTGACTGCCTTGCAAAGCGCTGCACCCTTACATAGTGCGCACCTTGACGTGCCCGATCAGGTGGCTCTTCTGATTCTGTTTGGGCAGTTGGTCATGAGCCGCATGGTGAATCAGTGACATCTCAATATGCTGCTGATTTTGGCGCAGGAAGGAAGCCCCGCAACCTGCGCATGCGCCCGTCCTAACAGTTGCATCAGCCTAGATGCTATTGAGCGCCCAAAGGCGACCCCGACAGATGGGAACGCGCTTCTGGGGCTGTCCCAGAGGCCACACCTGCGGCTGCGTCTTCCCCCAGTAAAGGCCAATACCCCAGTAGGCAACCAGGCTCTGCAAGCGCGAGCGGCAGTGGGTCCCAAGGAGTTTGGTGTCTCAGCTCAATTACTGGGGTTGTGGTCACAAGCGCGACAGCCACGGTGGCTGCCGTATTGGTCGTCATCCACGCACGGTCACCCTGCGCACGGCCCACACTATCGGGCTGCATGGGCGGCCGCATATTGGCAACAGGTGTTGAGTGGCAACAGCCCGTGTGCTAGTCCCAGCCATCGTCAAGCGTGCGCACCTGCACCCTTGTCCAGCGATGCACGGGCACGCCGCGCAGCAGCGCAAAGCCGCGGCCACGCTTCACGTCCTCAATCACGTCCAGCAGCAGCACCCCCAGGGTCGGCAGCGGGAAGTCCTCGTGCGTCGCCTCGTGCGACTGCGCGGGCGTTAATGACGCGCGTCGCTGCCGCCGTCGAACGCGCCAGCTGTTGCTGTGGCTCACGCGACTGCTGGTTCTCCGCAACCCGGCACCCTGGTGCGGCTAGGCACAGCCTGTCATGCCGCTGCGAACATGGCGGATGAAGCAAGCACGCCAACGGCACCAACTCCCATGGTGACGACGCACAGCGGGGTGCCATGTGCTGGCGGTCGCACTCGAACGTCGCCTGCGCGCCCCCAAGAAGGTCACTCACCACCGAGAGGTACTTGCCGGTGTCGTCGAGCTGCGCGACCCCGCTCTGCAGCGCGCCCTCAACGGCCGCCTCCAGCTCGGCAACCTGCTCGTCGGTGAGCACATGCAGCCACTCGTCCTGGCGGGCCAGCTGGTCTGCGGAGTACCAAACATCGGGGCCCTCGACAAACGTGTAGGGCACGACGGCGCCGGTCCTGCAGGGTGGGGCGCGGCGTGCGCGGCGCGCGAGCCGCGGGTGAGGGTTTATGAATGCAGGTCGCTCGTCGAGTAAGGACACAGTAATCCGGCTGGTGGGCGGGAGCATGTGCTTCCCCCCCCTCAAGAGCCACACCTGCTGGTCCCAGGATTGCGCAGCTGCTCCTCTGTGAAGGGCGGGGCGTACACAGGCTCGAGCGGGCCTGGCAGGGGTATGAGTCGAGTGATGGTGTGTGGGGTGAGGGCCGCAACGGCTGAGCCGCCCGCGGCGCTCGAGGCGCTCACTCCCCATGCAAGCAGCCCGCGCCTGACAGCTCCATGCAGATATGAGCCACTGATATGGACAACTGAACCTGAAGCCTGGTCTGGTACGGCTGTGGGGGAAACCATCTCGGCCGCTGCGCGCTGTCACTGAATCGGACGTCACTGCACGGTTGCAGCAGGGCAGGCGGTGCTCCACCGCCAGCGCGTGGGCGTGGTGTTGGACCCTTTATTAGCGCGTATATACCCAAGGTATGCTCGTGCTGGATCGATGCGGGACACCTGACCGGGTGTTGCCGGGGATGGTGTCATGATGGCCGAAATGGCTGGTCTCACGCGATTTGAACAAACATGAAGGGGCTACCAAAGGCGTCCAGGCCCCATCATTCTCGCACAGCAATCCATTATTACTGGCGAATCTACTGATCAACATGCAAACCACTGTGTCCGCGCACCCTGCAGTGGCGGCGTCACATGTCGCCACTGCACGCCGCACCGCTGCGGTGACCGCCACCGGCGCGCAGCGCCGCGGCGCCCTAGTTGTGCCTTCGGTTGCGAGCGTGGCCACCCCCACTCCCGAGGTGGCAGACCAGGCGGCAGGTGAGCAGCCGTGGCAATGTGAACAGAACTCCCAGCCCCATGAATCGGACAGCCAGGAGTCGCGAAGCACACTGGGTTGTGGCTGGGCGTTGGAGGCAGTGCGGCGCACCGCAAGCCGCACCGCAGGCGTCCTAATTCCACATGCATCCAGGCAAGGTGGATTTGACGTCCTCCTTGCAATCTGACAAGCCTGCAAACCCTGCTTGGACCCCACACCGTCACATCGAACAATTAGGCCCTCTGGCGCCTGTGCTGGCGCCGCCTTTCACGGAGGAGCAGCTGCGCAACCCGGGCACCAGCAGGTGCGAGCGCGGACAGGAGCACAGCGCTCCGCTCGTACAGTGGGCAGCTGCCCGCCGCATTTTCACGGCCGTCGCAGCCACGGCTGCGACAGCTGGCCGGCCGCCGCGGTAATCGCGCTTCAGCGCGACATGGGGTTGACCACACGATGACGCATCTGACCGACCTAGAAAACCTGCATGAACCGGCTACCACACACACACACACACACACACACACACACACACACACGCACACACACACGCACACTCTCTCTCTCTCTCACACATACGCGCATGCTTACAAAGTGAACCACGCACTCATGCACGCGTGTCCCCCCGCTCACCC